TAAAATAATATATGTACATTTCTTTGAAATGATCAATGTATAAAATCAATAACACTATAAATAACACTATAGGTATAACATTTTATACTAACTTGTGAAATGATAAGTCTTTTAACCTAACGTCACTTGAGCTAGTAAAATTAAAACCACTATACAGAAATGTACCATCTTAAATTCTCAACTGCTCAATGTTTTACTTTTTTATAAATTTGAGTTTAAAACTTTACTCTTTAGTAACATAAAGCCGGATTCCCACAACTGGTGTACTTGGCCAATATTTGGTACTGGTGGTTACTTGCATTGCCGTCGGATCGCCATACTTGTACAATTATTTGTCACTGGTGTCGTTCCCGGCGATTRTCGGTAAATGTGACACAAGTCAAAGGAACGGCCAATATACTTGTACTATTGAYCCCACGACCGGTTCKTATAAYAGCCAGCAATGGGAACAGACWACAGTGTACTTGGCTACTTGCACTAGTGCTCCGGTATTGGCGTACTTGTCAAGTACGCCAGACGTGTGAGCACCATGTTCGTGCACTGGTCAAATGTACAATTATTGGTGTATTTGGCAAGTACACCAGTCGTGGGAATTTGGCTTTATGGCTGGTGAATATTCTAGTTATCATATAGTTCAATGGCGGCACCTCTCTTCGGGTAGTCATGATATCTGGAGAGAGGCCCCCCCATCACTCGGGCATGGCAGAAACCTACAGGTGCTCACTAGAAATTTTGCCGAACACACAAGTGTTCCAAAACCTATAGTCCCAAAAACCCAACAGTACCAACCATGAACCAACCAACCAACCAATCTACAGCTAATGGGCTCAGTAGTCGATGCTTAATAAAAAAAAAAGAATTTAAAAGAAAATTACATTTTAATTTTCCTAGACGTGATGCCTTCAAATGATCCCATTTTGGATTCTGAAAACCCGTAATCTTAAGGAGTTATGTATAGACAATTATATTCATAATTTTTTTTATCACTAATCTTATGAATTATAAATAATTAAAGTAATATGACCTAGTCTTTACATTACATTAATTAAAAAATGCCATCTTCCACAAAACATGTGATTTTTGTGTTACATATATGTTAAAATATCAAATAATTGCTAAATAAATACCTAATTTATATTAATKAAATGAAATTTGTAAATGGGGCTAATAAATATAACGAACGTATAAATCCTAGCCTTTAAATATTATAAAATTATTATTTTACATTTTTATGCCAACATATTAAACATTATAAAGGTACTTATCTTGTATTAAATAATTATCTCATTTATTATTTTTCAATAGTTCAAAATCAGCTAAAATATTTTAAAATTATACTATGTGTAGAAAATTCTAAAATCTATTATCCACGGTTATTATTTTAGAATAACAATAATAAAAACAAAATCGAAATAAATATTTCTCTTACTTAACTCTCCAAAATACCTTCCAATTAGATCTTCAATCAAATTTTCTAATAGAGGCCATTTTTAATATTGAAAAATCACACAACGAAAATGTGTTTTTTTTATTGTATTACAACATTACGTATGTTTAGAATACCAAATCGTCGAAATTTAACCAGATTTTGAAATGTATTAACCAAATTATTTTTGCCATTATACGTGTTGATACTTGATATAAAGTTAATAATTTTAATTTTTAAAGTAAATGTAATACCTAATTAATTTATGAATATTGAATAGTTATAATAACATTATTCTAAAATAAATCAATATAATTTAGGTATGTTTCAATTTTTTGATTATATATTTAAAAAATACTTATGTATGAAATGTTTTATCAGATAACTTGTTCTGGTTAGAACATATATTGTACATTATACCGTTCGAACTAAATATTCCTTGCATAAAGAGGCCTTGGCATTTTTTAGTGCAAGTATTTAGGCTTTTAAAAAAATAAAAATAAATTCAACTAATTTTTTTTCAATTTCAATAAATAATGGCAACAAATAAATAAATTGAGAATGCTATATAAATTATGATTTTATCGGGTAACTAACTTAATAGATTACAGTATTACTCTAAACACAAAATTATTATTGCGGGAAGGCGTACTGTAATTTATAATGATATTACGTACATGGCGTGATGATGTACAAAACACTCAGAACACAGAAGTATAAAGTATTAACATCTATCTACAGAGTATGGCAATACAGTTAATAATTATAGATAGACAGGGCTGGATTAAGGCCCAATGCCGCCATGGAGCAAACATTTTTTGCCGCTCCTCCAGCCACCACCCCCTCCACCACCACCAAAAAAACCATAAAAAAACATGAAGTAATATGTAAGTATTTATTTATTTATTATCTAAGTATTTATATCAAAAATAGTCAATTGTATCAGAATCTAAATTCCATTCTGCTGGATCTGACCCAGGAAATTGTTTTGATACGGATACATTTTTTGAAGAGCTGGTAATAAGTTCTAAGTTAGGAGACGGAATTTCATTGTTTTTTTGTTCATCAAAATTATTAGTTTCAGTTAATGAATCAATAATAGATAGACTACTAGAATTAAGTTCGTAATTGTTGAGTTTTTCTACAACTTCGTCGTTTTGAACACTTGAATATGATTTATAATTTGTATAAAATAAAATACCAAC